GCTTCTGCTGACGAAGTGAAAGTTAGTTGGCCTAAAGGAGAACAATAAGCAAGTTTTCAACACACTTCTTATCGAAGTTTAAGGCTACTCACAAACCAAAACCCTCTTCCAAAACCCACTCTCTGTTCTTCATGAAATTTCAACAAAAGTAAAAAATACAGTATACTTCTATCAAAAGATTGATACAACAATTACTGCCAAAAAAAAGAAAGTCATATACAGGAGTACGTGTCTACTTTGGGATGAAAATTGCATAGATCAGTTACCTCAAGAGGTTGCAGTGTTTACACCAAGACTGTCAAAAACCAGCAGTCATTTAGCTTTGCCTAGAAACAAGTATTCACATAACAATGCATTGCAGGATACCGCGCCGAAGACCTGGTGGAACCACAAAAAAAATTTTGAACTTGGATCTCTACTCAAGAATAAATATTTTATATATCCTAATATAGATATAAATAATTAGCATAGAGTTTAGACTAGTTCATTTAGTAGTACTATATAATTTTTACAATCTGGCATAGGTTTAATAGTGCTATCTTTGTTTTCTTTTCTTTTGTTTTGTTTTTCTTTTATATGTTATTTTGGTTTTATTTGTTTAGGTAGATCGAAATTGGATGCTGAGATATCACCTCTTTTTTTCTTTTTGCCCTTTGAATTTTGTTTATATTTCATTTTTGTAAAAGAAAAAATAATACTGATATGACATGTGGTACTAGCCAATGATCGAAGGATTCATGCCTCTAGGAAGTTAGGAGCCCAGAGGAGGTGAACAGCCACTAGGTGATGTCACACCTGGGCTTTTTTTGAAGTCGAGTGAGTCAATTGTTGCAGTTAAGGAGATAATAACTATAGTTAAGAATTCTTGTAATTTTTACTTGGTTACATTCTAATAAAAACAGTGGCAAGACATGCTGAAAAAAAAAATAAAAAAAATAAATAGTAAACTTGAGAAATAATTAAGGTTTTATAAAAATAAAAATTTATAGTTTTTGATTTAAGAAATAGAAAACAAATTTTATAGAATTAGAATTAAATATTAGGTATATTTAAATTTAATCAAATTAAATCAACTCTTGATTTGAATTTGATTTGATTTAAAATTTTTAAAATTTAAAAATTTTACTATTTTTCAAAATTTTTAATTTACATAAAATTTTACTAAACTAGTCAATTTTGTGTATTAAATAAAAAATATTCTTCTAGTCAAAATACTTTACCCTAAATTCTAGCCTAACTCTATAAAAAAACATAAAAAGTTTTTAAAATTTTATATTGATAAAATTATTATTGAAACTGTAGTTATAAGGTCGCACAAATTTAATATCTTGGTTTTCATAACACGAAACTTTTAAACAGACCCGGCCGGCCGGCTTTTTTTTTTTAAATTTCATATATAAAAATTTTTTAAAATTTTTTTAAAAAGCCTACCCGGTTATTAAAACATATAAAAATTTTTTACAAGATTTCAAATTTTGACCCGGTCGGGTTATGAAAACCAATTAATTAATTTTGCATGGCCTAATAGTTATTTACACAAAATTTTATTAAGCCTTTTTTATTTTATAAAATTATAGAATTTATAATAAGAGTATATGTGAATTTTAGTATCGTTTATATTTTTAAATTAAGGACCCAAATTCTCAGCATCATCCCCGACATATATTATAGCGCTTTGCAAAAAGATGTGGCCACATGATTTTTTAATGATGATTAGGGAAAATTTCTGAGATTTTATATTGTATATTGTTTTATATTTTCGATCGGTTACGTTTATATTTCTTCAAAATCGATGAAATTCTTAAAATCAATAGAATCTCCGATTCCCATATGACATCGTGGTCTACAGAGACAACATCTTTCTGCAAAGAGCAATACTTATAAATGCTAAATCTAAGAACATAATCTAAGATAGCAAATTGTATAATAATAAATTTTCAAAAAATTGAAAGGATATACGAGAGTAAGACTTCGGGATTAATGAAAATATTTATTCTAGGGAAATAGTTCAATCACACGAGTTACTTCTTTTCTTAATAAAGTAGAAGAATATGCGCCGAAAAATTAAAAAATTACCAAATAATTTACAAAGAACAATTCAGAGCGTTTCTATACAAAAAAACAAACGAGAATTATAGCAAGTCGTAATATAAGATTCCACAGAATAGAAAAGTGTAATCTAAAATTTGAACAGAAAATCCTAAAGCCAAATTATGAATGAACTAGTTTTCTCATAGCGATAGTCCCAACCAGGGCTTAAAATCCTATAGTAATTTGCCAGCCATTCAAAAGTGTCATTCTTGATCTATAGCAGTGTTGTCACTTGGCTATTTGGCCGGCCAATGGCCGCGGCCAAAATGCATAAAAAATTATTTGGCCGAAATGGCCAAATATTTATATAGTAAAAACTAGCGATATGATTGGCTAAATTATATATATTAGAAATTTTTGGCCAAAATTTGGCCATTGGCTATTGGCCGTTGGCCAGTTGGCCATTTGGCCGGCTCTCAAAAATTGTTTGGCCGCAAAAATTGACATCACTGATCTATAGTATATTAGTAATTAATTGGCTGATATAGTAAACAATAAGATCAGTATTGGGTTGACCAGACCAGTTTGACCAATTTGACCATTTGACCAGTCTGGTCAAAGGTTTTGTACTAATCAAATTGTAATAGACTTGACCAATTTGACCAGCAAATTTTTGCTTGACTATTGATTAACCCAACACTGAATAAGATGTACAATATACTAATTTTAATGAATCAAGAAAAAACACTTCAAACAATAGGCTGCAGGCCGGCAGATTACTATAGGATTTTAAGCCCTGGTCCCAACCAGGGCAAAAAATACCCTACTTATTTGCCGGCCACTCAAAAAGTATCATTTTTGATTCACATATACCAAGTCCGATTAGCTAAAAAAAAATTAACATAGTCAATTATTGTAACAATTAGATACATACACTTCTAAATCGGATGTATCAAAACACTTTAAACAATGGGCATCGGCGCAGTAAATGGCCGGTAAATAAGTAGGTATTTTTTGCCCTAGTCCCAACTTGCAATGCTTAGAGAAATATTCTGTATCACTTATTATTATATTGACAAAAAAGACAATGCCAACAGTGATACGTTAAAAACAATGACATAGATAAATAAATCAATCAATCGTATATACAGCAAAAATCTGGTTCACATGATTATTGTCTTTGATCAAAACCCTTTTATGTATATACATATTTGCTTGTTAATGATTATTCTATACGTATAATGAGTTTGCGTTCATATGTTCTAAAATTGAACATGGAATTCTAAGCCTCTTTTTTTTACTATATAGTTTGTGCATAAAATCAACTCTATACCATATTATCCGGAATTATCCAGGAATGCTGAAGGTTTTTTGTTTAGGCGTATTTTTGTACCACAATCTTTGTAAGTATAACCAAATTAAGTATCAACCAATTCGGTATTGATGAAAGGGAGGCAACAAACACAATGGCGGTATTCGCAGTTTATTTCCATTTTTAAACATTAAAACTCAATTTGTTTGTATTCTAATATTGAATCCTGATATATTTATGCATGCGAACAAAGTTTAGATCAAGTGGCGATTACAAACAAGAATAAGGCGTAAATAAACATTCTTTAGGCCGATGCTGATAAAGAAGACATGATATTGTATTAATATATTTCAGAGATGATGCGGTTATTTCATTGTAAAAAAAGGCAATTTAGTAAAGAGAGACAGTTGTACAGTGGGGAATTCATGAAACAGATTCAACAAATCAAATCATTTATATCTCGCGATTATCAAACAGTGGGGTGGAAGTGATGCGTAATATTTATTTGTCACAAAACAGTTATTACTTAGTGACTGAAGATATACTTGCCAAAATCCAAAACATAAAAAAATTGTCACAAATCCGAACGCATAATGAAGTCATTCAAAGTTACAAATCTAGAGGAAGCATAACTTAAGATTCAGGCCGATGTTACACTATATCATGCCACCCCACAGTTTGCTTAAGTTGCTTATGTGTCACGTAGTGATACGAACATATATCATATGGTCTTCTTAATATAGAAATAATTTGAATCAACATCGGTATGTTGTAATAGATAATCAATCTTGATTTAGAAAAAGTTAACTGAGTTTAAACTTATGCATGGCAGTTTATTTTTTTACCTTTATGTAGAAACAAATGCTCTGTCTATAGCTGACCATTTTTTGCATTGTATGTTCTACCATTCCTGATCACGCCATAATTAGTCGCCACAAAGTGTTCCCTTATTCCTTTGTTTCATTTGTACGTACTTCAAATAACTGTGGCTTTCAATTAATTACAATGTTTTTTTAAGGAAGTTCAATCTGCATGCGTCGTATCGAATAAGCTCATAACGCGTTCATTAATAAAATGCACAATAGGTTCAAGAAGTATATCCTGGTTGCACGGAAAACATAGATTAATAAATATATATCAGTATTGCGCAAATTAATTACTATAATATATATTATCATTATAATCTATCAGTATAATTTCCATGGACGATGACTTCAATAATATGATTTGCATGTTATTTATTAAATTTATAAAGATTAATGCATCTAGGTTTTCCCATTCCTTTTGAAGTGTTATCTAGTATTCGTGTGTTTGTGGCGGTAGTCTTCGTCGCTGAACATTATCTTTCATTATTATACTTTTTGCATTGATTCATGTTTTCCCGTGTAACCGTAATATACTTTCCGAGCCTAGTGTAGTAAATACATTTTATTAACCTTATGAAAACTTCAATAGAAAACATTCATTAATGAATGATTTGTGGATTTTTGCATCGCGATATTTTTTTATATAAGGAGGTTCTTCCTGTTTCGCTTCTCCTTAATTCTATCTCGCTTCTCCTTAATTCTAAGGTTCTAATGAAATAATTTTCCTTTTTTCCTAATCCTCCTAATCCTAAAATCGATTGTACCCTGAAATTTTTCTCTTTTCCGAAATAATGTCTTTTCCACAACATTTCACTCTTTTAACCTCGTCAATTCTTGAAGAGACAATAAGTCTTATTCAATGCGACCTCGGTTACTACTACATTGAGTGCCATGACAAAAAGTCCATTTTACGGACTCCTGACGTGGACGACGCTTTGGGGATTAGCAATGGAAGAAGATCGCCTCCAAAAAGCTTTATTCTCTTTAGAAAAAGCTTTCAAAGCAGTATTTCAGAAATGTGCCTCAAAATCGAAAGGGCACAAATTTCTAAACATGCTACAAATATGTGGGGATATATCAAAGAATCCCAGCCACACTTGTGGCATTACTTTAAGAATGTATCTGAGGAAGCTACGGATCGATATAATACCGCCAATCTTAAAATATTCATGTTCGATATGAATTCGTATCGATCATCAGAAAATAAATCTCGTTTAAATCCTCATAATTCACACGAATATTCGGTAAATGATTCTTTATTAGATGAATTTACATTTGATTCATCTGGAT